AACTAAGTTTTCCTTATTCCATTCTAAACGAAAGTTTCAATCTATTTCAAAATCCTTACCAATGCTATATATAAATAACATCAATATTGAGCGCTCATTCACAAATAAATTACTTGGTATTTTAATAGACGAAAACTTATCCTGGAGAGCTCATATAAATCATATTAGCAATAAAATCTCAAGAAGTATTGGCATCTTATATAAAACCAGACGAATCTTAGACAAATCTACACTAACTCAACTATATTTTGCATTCATAAATAGTTATTTATCTTATGGCAATATTGTTTGGGGTAGTACAAATAAATCTAAACTCGACTGTCTCCTTAAACAACAGAATCATGCAGCACGCATTATTCATTTTCAAAATCGCTTCACAAATGCTAAACCTCTTTTAAAAAGCATGAGGGCACTTGATATTTATGAGTTAAATATTTTCAAAATTACACAATTTATGTTTCAACATCAGTCAAAAAAACGCCGAAGGTTTTCGAAAATATTTTCCATAAAACATTAAACCGATACAACACGCGATCTACCGGAAGATTTAAAAAACCTTTCCGTTCATCAAAACTTACGAGCTTTGCCATTTCCTATCGTGGTCCAATGCTATGGAACCATTTTACAAGTCTGTGTGGTAAACTTAAAGAAGCCAATACCTCTCAAAAATTTAAAAAGAACATAATCGAACTTATTGCCAATCACGATTCTTTACATGATTTTTTCTAACAATACACGATTATTTCCAATTTTTATTATCAAAGGTTACAGATGAAAAGACTTTATCTTCTTCAGGTTCTCCGGTCTTGTAACTATTATAAATAATGAAATGCACTTGTATTTAATATTTCTAAATATTTTACGGAAATTATCTTTAATTGTAAATAGTTGCTTGACAATAATTGAAAAAAAAAAAAAAAAAAAAAGTCATCATGTGATGGTATTGATGGCACTGTAAAACTAATAACTACAAATGCAAGTCTACAAAGGCCAATAAATGACCAGATATTAAATTGTAACAAAATGTTTGACTACTGTACTAACAATATTAAAAGGATTATTTTTTTCAAGATTGAAAAAGAAAGACTGACAGAGTTGCGCACTACTTTGAAAACACGTTTTGAGCTAAGTAGAACTATCATACATAAATGCATTTGAGTATTAATGTTTTTTGAATTTGAATTGAAACATAAAAGTTGAAATAATGTTTAAAATATCAATAATCCCTTTTAAAATTGATGTTAATATTTTATTAGCAATTTTAAAAAAGAGCGTAAACTTTCTGAGACACGTTTTTGCATTTATATATATATACATATGTATATATATATATATATATATATATATATATATATATATATATATATATATATATATATATATATATATATATATATATATATATATATATATATATATATATATATATATTCGTAAACATCTGTTATTATAATGAATACTATTTAAAAAATATCTTATTTGTTTAACTTATTATACTTTTCTGCACTTTATCATATTTTCGCCTATCTTACTTTTTTGTCAATGTCTATATTGAAATATTTAGGAAGGCGTAAAGTTTTAATTTAGCATTATGCATCAAAAATGGTATTTAATTCGTTAAACCATAAAATTAAATTATTGTTTTTAATTCACATGAACAAAGCACGGATTAAACATTATGATTGTGTATTAAATATGAAAAATTTTGTAAAGTACGAACGATAAGATCAAAAAACGCAGTGGAGTGTTGGTTTGGAGTGAGCAAATTACTTTCAAACAAACTCCAAAGGATAGTATTTCAAAGTAGATGTTCTTTCGTCATCAAAGTTGATGTTTTCTCATTATCAATATAGATGTTCTTCAAAACTTTAATTCATAATTTTAGAAGCAAAAGTTATTAAGATTCTTATGCTTAAAACAAGAGCACAAAAACACAAGATTTTATATTTTCAGCTAAAATGAACAAAAAAAGTTTTACTGTTTTTGTTTTGATTTAAATTTGTCCTTTTTTTTTTTTAAAAAAAAAAAAAAAAATCAATTTTGAAATGGATAATTAAAAAAAATTCCATTTCGTTGCGTGTAGCATAATGTAAAAAAATTTACAATTGTAAAAGTTTAAATTTTTTTATAATTTTGTTATGTTTTTATAATTTTATCTAAACTGATATTGAAATGTTTCACCTGGTGATGGCGTCTAAATTAATTTATTAACTACATAAAGCACGTAAAAATAATTTAATTTCAATATAAGCTAATGTGTAATAAATTATAGCGTTATGAAATCAGAGAACCATTGACCTTGGCAATTATCGATCAGATTGTCTAAAAATGCGGTTTTAAAAAAATATTTTCAACATTTTCAGATTATTCCTCACCAATCAGACCGTACCAGTAAGTTTTGTCGGGGGCCATTTTTAAAAAAGGAGGTAGCTTAGAGTACCAAATAAATATTGTTCTTGATTTATATAACAAAGTTCTTGTGTAACTTTGCAACTAGATCCGAAAGTTCAGTTACTTTATGAAACACATACAGCCATACATACAAGGAAACAAAAGACAAAAAAACAAAACAAAGTTATATAAGAGTAAGTGTTACCGGCTTTTGCATTTAATCTGGTGAATTTTCGCACAAATCTGGCGGTTTTTTCATTTAATCTGGCGGTTTTTTTCATTTAATCTGGTGGTTTTTTGCATTCAATCTGGTGGTCTTTCTTTATTATAATAAACAGTTTTGTTTTTATTGCTTTATTTAATTTAACTTCCTTATTTACAATTTAAGCCCGTTTTCTCTTAAATTTTTTAAAAATTTAAAACTTAATAACACACGAAGAGATTGCTCAGAGATTAATGCTGAAGTAAGAAATTTGATCGTTAATCTTGTAATTAACGAAGGAAAAAGTGTGAAAGAAGTATCGAAACTCGTGCATAGAAGCGAGACTTCAATACGACACCTGGTCCATCGATATTTATCAACAGGTAATATCAATCCTGGTATTATAGGCGACTTTCGACAGTCAGGTTGTACTGAGGAAATAATAATAAGCTCCATGAATTGATTGGAGATAACAAAAACTATGATCTACAAGAGTTAAAGGTAAAACTGGGACTTGATGTCAGAACTATAATCTACAGGAGTTAAAGGTAAAACTGAGACTTGATGTCTCTACATTATGACAATGGTTAAAAAAATTGAATTATACATACAAAATATTAAGACCCATGAGTGAAAGACACAATACTACAGAGGTAAAAGAAGAAAGAAAAACATTTGTTTCATGGTATTTACACTTGACATTGCAACAACGCCGCTACAGAAACATCATTTACATCGATGAAAGTCCGTTCAATCTTCATATGATAAGAAACCATGGATACAGTCTCCGAGAAACGAACCCAAATCAACGTGTGTTATCATCAAGAGGCCGTAACATAACTATGATATTAGCATTAAATTGTTTAAACATAGTCCACTAAAAAGCAATAATTGGCGTAGGAATGACAGCAGAAATCTTACAGGATTCTTAAATACGCTTAAAAGTATTTTGGGAGAAGAATAAAAGTTTACCTTGGTGATGGACAACGTTAAGTTTTATCATTCATTATCAGATTTTTATGATAGTTATCCCTATGAAATTCGTTTTTTACCCCAATACTCACCTTTTCCATTCTCGAAAATTAAGAATACTACAAGAGGACAAATAGCTCCGATCTGAAATAACGATTTGTTAGAAGAAATGAGGAACGGTTGTGAGGACGTTACTGAACTTTCAAACTTTGTGACACACTGCGAATCTTTTCTCACACAATGTGTCAATATATATAATGTATATAAATAAATCATTTCTGAAAATGTCTTTCTAATAAGCCTCCATTTATTAAACTCAGTGTAAAATGAAATTTAGTTTGATAAGTGACTATTTAGACGTGGAGTCTTCATATGTATATATATATATATATATATATATATATATATATATATATATATATATATATATATATATATATATATATATATATTTATATTGTATTTTTAATTTAAATATAATAATTTACGTTATAGGCTTTCTTTTTTTAGTGAGGTTTCTTATGGACTCAACCGTTTTTTCCCCGGTAAAATGTCTTTTTTTATTTCATTAGTTTTTCGATCAATTACAACATAAAATGTTAACTATTTTTTTATTAGCTTATAAATAAAATTAGGCAGAAGCTAATTTTACCAAACAACCTCACCACCAAGACCTAATATTGGCCCTTAAAAAGTCTAGGGGATCGAACTAAAATTAAAAATACTGTTTAGTGTTGATATTTTCGTTAAGAAAATAGTTATAGTTCTCGTTAACAAAAGGCTTCAATTTTTGTTCTTTTTTCGTGCACGAAAATATCACATACAGTCAACTCTTGATATCTTGAATAGTTGATATCTCGAACTTTTTTGAATCCAGTCGAACCCTTATTTATGGATTATACTCTCGATAACTCGAACATTCTCTATCTCGAACTAATTAATCGGTCCTTTGGAGGTTCGAGATATCGAGAGTTGTCTAATTAATTATAGTAATAGTTCTAGTTCTCGTTAACGAAAGGCTTTAATTTTTATTATAAATCTTTCATTCAAAAATATCACTGTTGATGACAAAGTTTAATTTGTTTTTAATTTAAAGGTTAACCAATTAAACACCTATATAACTATACCTATAGTTATATAGGTGTTTAATAGATTAACCTTTGTCAGGTGTCACAAAACTGTAAGCACAAAAAGTTATTTAATGCAATGTTTCTTTCCTGATAATAAAAAGGCTTTAAAATTTTATATGTTTAAAAAACAATTTAGTATTTATTTGATTTTTATTTTCATACCCTGACTAATAGTTAAAAGATATATTCAATATCTTGAATGCATCTTTTAATTATTAGTAAGGGTATGAAATAATAATCACAATATCTTGTGATTATTAATTATATAAATTGTTGTATATTAAGTGAAGCAAAGAAGAAACATATTAAAGATTATAAATTTGTCAAGAAACACTAAGACAAAAACAATTAAAAACAAAATTTAAATAAAAAAAGAAGTCTATTTACTCTTCATCTTCAGAATCAATATTTTCATGAAATGTCTCGATAACCTCCTGATTGTATGGCAAAGAATCGTAAACCTGAGCATTGGATGTAAACCTTTTTAATACTTGTAAATCTCTGTACTTTGCCATAGAGATGCAAAGTTTTGCATTATACAGAATGGAGATTTCACTATTTATAGTGTTCTTCCTATTATTTTTTTAATTAGTTTTCAACAATAATCCATTCCACGAATCACGATGAAATACAATGCCATTTGAGTCTCCTCTGAAACAAATTATACAAAGAGGACAAGTTGGAATTGGACATTTATTCTTATAAAATGGTCTCATAAAATCAGTTATACTTTCAACCATACCTTGCGTTAATTCTATAACATGAAACAGAGTGGGTTTTTTACGAGCATTTTTGAATGTTTTAATCCAATCTGATGGACCACTAGTGGGTGTTTTGCAATTAATTAATCCCATATCTTTATCACATTCCATAACAGAATGACCACGTTTTGGAAATGTAACTTTAATAAAGTCAAGCTTTTTGTTTTCATGAACAAGAAAGTCCATAAAACGAATTAATGTATAGTTTTTGTTTTAGCCAGCACATGAATCACAAAATAGCTCTACAGATCAAATTTCTTTGTCTAAATGTTTTATAAAAAAATCATCGAAGTTACTTCATCAGCCACTTTTTTAGTTATAGTTTCATCATAACAAAAAAAATAAACTTGCCTCAAATTTGTACTCCCTTTGTGCTTTAAACCAAGCTTGAACAACAATTGCATGAGCTTGAGTTACAGAAAGAACAGCACCACAAAGATGCAGATATATTTTATGTGAGGAAAAGAAACCTAACATAAAATATTTCTGCATCTTTGTGGTGCTGTTCTTTCTGTAACTCAAGCTCATGCAATTGTTGTTCAAGCTTTGTAAATTCTGAATTAAAAGATAGTTCAATTTTTATTTCATCAATTTTAATTTTAAACTCATCGCATTTAGAACGTGTCAGTCCTAGGGTACCCAAAAGAAATGTTAAAACTTTTGTTAAATATGTTGCGATAAGATTTATATGACAATTTATCATTTCCATACTTGATTTTAAACAAGTCTTACATCTTGGTTATAATTAATAGATCTTGGTATCAACCTCTGAAAGAAGAAATGTGATCACATATTTTATTTTTTTAGTTGAGGAGTAAAATTGTTATACTGATTCTTGTGTTTACCTCTTCTATCATGGGGAGAGTGACCTATAATAAAAAAAATAATTTTTATATATAAGAAAACTTCCATTAAAAATAAGCATTCTATATTCAATAAAAATATATAAATTACCTTTAGTTAAAAGGCTTCTTTTAATGGTCTCTAATCTCGCAGAAAAGCAAAATAAATAAACGAACACGTAAGAGTCTCGTGATTTGTAATAAAATGTTTACATTTGTAACTGCTATTATAACTTTTTGAATTAATATTTGGTGGTTTTCTTCTTGAAACGTTATTTAAAGTTATTAAACTTGCAAGATACGAATCTTGATCATCCTTGCTGGATAGAGAGTTAAAATAACTTATTAACACTTTTCTATCTTCTTTTTTAAGCATTTCAGCCTTATACAGTTACATTCAAGCCCTGTTTTATGCAATGCTAATCTTTGTTTTTTTATACTTTCACGCAATCTTTCCTTACTTTTTTCTTTGATTTTTTTAGCTTTTTTATTGGTATTTCAAGTGTCGCCATTTTTTTATTATTTAATTTACATTAACCAAATCACCTGTGATTATTTTGAAAAATAAAGACTTATAGCCGTAAGTATGAGTCTTGATAATTCAAAAAATAAAAATGGTAAACTTGGTTTATGGTATTGGTTTATGGTAAACTTGGTTTATGCAAATACTATTTTAACTCATTAACACTTGTCTTTTCGGGGAGGTATAATATTGTATAAGATATAGTATATTGTATATATCGGGGAGGTATAATATTGTATAAGCTATCTATTTATTAACAACATTAAATATTTAATAAAAAAGTTGATAAAGAGCTATAAAAGTTTTTACTGTTTATAAAAATGTTTTATATTTTATTATTGTATAATAAAAAAAAGTGATTAAGTTCCATAAAACTATAAAAGTACATCCAATTGATTTGAATTTTTTTGATTTGAATTCAGATAAAATGTATATTAATATTGTTTATAAAGTTAAAAAGTATAAAATGTCAAAATTTTCAAAATGTGACCCTGCCGTTTCTTCCCGTGGAGTCTTCATATATATGTATATATATATATATATATATATATATATATATATATATATATATATATATATATATATATATATATATATATATATATATATATATATATATATATATATATGCATTAGTAAAATATATATATATATATATATAAATATATATATATATATATATATATATATATATATATATATATATATATATATATATATATATATTATTTGTTACACATCTAAATTTATTTTTAACTGGAGTGTGTAGAATATTTATTACTACTAATTATTTAAGCAATTCATAACATGCAATAAAATTGATATAAATTTTAAAACCGCCAGAATGAATGCAAAAAAACACCAGATTATAATCTGGTTATAATTTTTTTCATTTAATCTGGCAGTTTTTTGCATTTATAAATGCAAAAAACTGCCAGATTAAATGAAAAAAACCGCCAGATTCCTGCAAAAATCCACCAGATTAAATGCAAAAATTGTTAGTTTAGTAAGTTTTGAAACAATTGGATAGGTGTCTAATGTAAAATCAAATAATTATGTGGATGAAATGGAAGAAATTTATCATATTTATTCCCAGCAGTAAAAAAAGTACAGGTCAGATCAAATTCAATTTTTCAAAGCTGTATAAAGTTTGCAACGAAGACAAGTGATATTCAGTAAATAAAATAGTATCAATAATTATATATTAGTTGAACCTTATTTCAAGGTCACATATCTTGGAGAGATATGTCACCTTGAATTAGGTTACAACTAATATATAATTATGATAAATTATTTTTATTGTTTTTTTTTCTACTAAAGAATCAATGTATTCAATTCTAGAAATTAGTATTCTCATATTAGGGGCCCTTAGGTATGGATTTCACTGCTCGTTTGCCCCATTTGGGAAATTTGGATCAAAAGCTATAAAAGCTTGGTCAAAAGCAAAAAAATTAAGTTTAGATAAACAAATAGAGCTTTTTCAAACTGTCAGTGTAAACAAAATCATTTACATTTATAAATATCAAGAAAATACGTAAAAATCTTTGGGCTATTTTCCCCCATACAGGACAAATGGGCCAAAAACAGTCAAAGTTCTATACAAACAATAAAAATTAAATTTAGTTAAAACAGGTCTTTTTCAAACTATCATAATAAACAAATTCATTTATATTTATAAATATTAGGTAAAAATGTAAAAATACAAAGGACCCGTTTTCCCGTTTTAGGGCTAACTGGGCTGAGAGTACAAAAAGCTCTATTAAAACCTTAAAAATTAACTTTAGTTAAAGAAAAAGAGCTTTTTTAAACTGTTAGAGTAAACAAAATCATTTAAATTTATAAATATCAAGAAATTATGTAAATATTTTAGGGCTTACTTCCCCAGTCAGGGCGATTGAGCTAAGAACAATCAAAGTTCTGTACAAACAGTAAAAATTAATTTTAGTTAAAAAAGAAATTTTCCAAACTGTCAGAAAGTACAAATTCATTTTTATTTATAAATATTAGGAAACTATGTAAAAATACACATAACCTGTTTTCCCATTTTGGGGCAAATCGGGCCAAGAGAACTAAAAAACTCTGTTAAAACCGTAACAAATAATTTTATTTAAAGAAAAAGAGATTTTTCAAACTGTCAGACTGAACAGATTTTTTTACATTTATAAATGTAAAAAATAAATGTAAATATTTTAGCTCTAATTCCCCGAATTGAGGCGATTGGACCGATAACAATTAAGGCTCTGTAAAGATAATAAAAATTAACTTTAGTTAAAGAAAAAGTGTTTTTTCATATTGCCAAAGTAAAGAAGTTCATACACATTTATAAAAACCCAAAATATACGTAATAATCACAGTGCTTATTTGCCCCAATTGGCAATTGGTTCAAAAGGAATGAAATTTCTGTAAAAACCAAAAAAATAAACTTTAGTTAAAAAACAAATGCTTTTTTTATATCGTAAGAGTAAACAAATTCATATACATTTATAAAAAAAAAAATTTTCCGGAAAGAAATGTCTTTGTAAACCATTGAAATAAAATGCTTTACTTTGTCCAATCACTGTCTAAAACACTCCTTGTACTTTCTTCTGGGGCATTTTAATCTTAAAACATGAAAAATAATGAGTAGTTCTTCTTTTTAATATCAAATTTGGTAGAAAAGAGTTTCCGAGAGACACAAGTTGTTATTCTGATTGTTTATCCTATCAGTGCATGAATTCCGTTTGTGCAAACACCACTGGCGTAGGCAAATTTATTCAAAAGGACTAATATTTACAAATCGATTGCTTATCTAGGGATAGATTACTGGAAGATTACTGGAAGATTACTGGAAGTTTAGAAATTTGGAAGATTATATAGTGATTACTGCAAAAAAAATAAGGCAAAGCTACAGATATGGGACTGTCCATAAATTACGCAACGCTAAACTTAACTAATAGTTAAAGCAAATAAGATCAAACGTTTTCCCTCGCAGATCCTTCTTAAACCAAAAGTCAAATTAGTTCTTTAAGTTCAATTAAAATTGCTGCGCAAAAGTGCAAATGATCTCCAACTTCTATTTATTAAATAAAATTTCGCGTTGCGTAGTTTATGGACAATCCCTATGCGATCTAAAATAATTTTATTTAATCGCTTGTTGCGCTTTCATGTGGAAATCTCAAAGTGATGACTTTTTAATATAAACATAAAGAATATTTATTGGCTTTAATGCATATATCGACTACTTTATAGTCTGCTGCTACAAGGAAGTGCTGCAACATTCATTATCTTATAGCCTGCTGCTACAAGGGATTGACTGAGGAATTTGCATAGGGCTTCTTTCATCATTTCAATTAAAATATTTAAAAACTCTTCACTAACAAGAGCGTAACAAGGGCATTCCGGCATTTTGGCCTAAAATATTATAAACCGGTCGGAACCGGAATAATCTAAAAGTCACAAAATCTTGCCGGAATTTCGGAACGAAGTTCCCGTACATCCCTAAATAAGATATAGTCTGTTCACACGTGCATGCGAATAGACTCACCCCTTATTTAATTATGCTGTTTTTGAAAAAAATTCCAAATAAAGGAAACTTCTGACTGATTTTAACTAGAAGACCAAAAACCATTTTTTTTTTTTAAGAACTCTACAGTCATCTTTTAAATCCTGCAAAAATTTAAGTTTCAAAAGAAGAAATTATAGTTTCAAAAATTTTTTTAATCGATTAACAATTATGAGTTAGCTTTATTTAAATCAATGGCACCCAAAATGTTATAAAATGATTTCAAGTTATTAATAAAAAACAATTATAAATTTTCAGTCTTTGGCATCAGTGACTTTTATCCTTCAATTGTCTTAAAATATCATAAAATGTCTTATTATAGATGTAATTAAAATTGGTGTTTGTAAGTAAAAAAACATTTATACAGCGTGAAAAAGTAAACGGACAAGCAAATAACTGTAGATAACTTTTGATTAAAAAGTCCCATTTCTTTTATATTTCCACTAAAATGTCAAAAAAATTGATTAAAAATCTAAAAGCAAATGAATTTTTACTTAGCCATCTAATCTTAAAAGTTCATTTAATTAAAGTTTGCGCGTGCAAAAGTATCGGGACAGAAAAAAAAAACTTGCCTTAAATTTTTTTAAATATTTTTTAAATTGAATATGTTTTATTAGAATTATTTTAATATGACCTTTTTAGATTTATTTAAAAAAAAAAATTATTTCCTGGTAAGTGACGTTAAGTACTTTGTCTGGAAGTCCTTAGCATTAATTACTGCTTGATTACAGCTTACTTGATTACTTAGCATTAATTACAGTGACAAAGCATTGAGCCCACCAGCTTCTTAATTAAAAAAATTTTCATATTTTCCATTCTTGTTTAAGAATATTCAACAAATAATATTAACTTGTTGGTTTTCAACCTAAAAAGTGTCAATTTATATGTTTACATAGATGTTCAATTAAAATTAAGGTCAGGACTTTGCTATGGCCATTAAATTAATTGAGTTTTTCTGTTTTTGAATAAGTTTTTTACTAGGTTTCAAGTGTAATTAGAATCGTTATCCTGCTGAAATATACATCCTCGAACTATGAAAAATGATCCACGCAAAATCCTGTCTTAGTAAATGCTGAAATTGAAGAACTTTTAAAGTCTGCAAATCTATTTGGAAAATTTCCTACAAAAAACGTTTTATTTATATAAAGAATTAAAAAGCGCGCCTAAGACTTGCTAGTGAACGTTTGAATTGACAGGAGAACAGTGATTAAAAGTACCTTTTAGTATTGATTTTAAGTTTATGTTATTTATGTCTAATAATATTATATATGTTCGTTGACCAGAAAGGCTATTAAAACAATCCTAAGTACCAGCTACCAACAGTAAAACACAAAAGTCAAAACGTTATGAATTGGGGTAACTAATATGTACAAAGATGCAGTTAATAATGTTATGCTACCACATGCTAAAAACAAAATGCCTCAAGGAAGGATGTTTAGGGACAATGAACCAAAAGGACAATGAACGAAAA